GCGATTTGCATAAATAGCGCTATGTACTGCGAAGGATCGTGCATCATACGTATTTAATACCGCAGTTCAAAATATATGGACTTCATTTATTCATTGTATCTGATTTATCATCACGGGTTTATTACGAATCAACTTAACGGCCTGCTCCCAGTTGGCTTTTCAGCTAAATTGGTAGACCGCTGCACTATCGCAGTAGTATCTCTGCAGTATCGCAGAGGTCAGTGGTCCGAATCCCGTACAGGCCTGATTTATTTATTTTTTTTCAGGTCTGATTTTCGCTATTGCATAAATAGCGCTATGTACTGCGAAGGATCGTGCATCATACGTATTTAATACCGCAGTTCAAAATATATGGACTTCATATATTCATTGTATCTATATACCCTAAGCTTCTTGAAATTTTCCTCGTTTTCAAGGTTAACAATATTTTGAGAACGATGGAAGATCTTTTGACTATTTACGTCTTCAAGAACCTTAACTGAACAGTAGCTTTGTAAAATTGACAACAACAAAAATATCAACGTCTATCACGCCGGGAAGCTGACTTAAATCAGTGTCCACTTACGCAGACCTAAGAACTTAACTTGTTTTGTAACATCACTAAAACGTCCCACTGCTTATACGCTTCTCTTCAGACCCCATGTCAGTGTCGGGAATTTAACCAGTGCAGTTTTTGAAAAGTGTAACTTTAAGCCCCATTGCTTACTTCGATACCCTGTGTACACGTCTCTCGTATTTTATGCGATTGACAATAGTATCCAAGGGCACTTTGGTAAGCAGCTCCTTTCCCCAAGCTTCCTTTTCAAGGGTTTCCTTGATTTTCTGCTTTACAAATGGGGATGATTTCTTTATCATGCAGGCGAACTGAGTTCGTACGCATTCAAGGTCGTACTCTGAAAATACACCCCTTACGCTACTTCCTAAAGTTGGTGGTATTATGTCACTTGAATTGTTGCTCTCATGAGTCAGCGATCACTCTACACGTTGTTCAAGAGTTTCTTCTTCAGAAGAAGGATTTACAGGTTGTACTGTTCAGACCGAGGGAGGCGTTCTGAAACGCCACTGCGCCCTTATCTTGTCCAAAATTCTCTTTGGGCCTTTCTTCATCAGCTGTGGATGGTCGGAAAAATTGGATTTTACATCTTCCATCGAAATGGCTTCGCTTTCGATTTCATCTTTGAAGACACTCTTCACTAAATCTTCCATTTCTTTGTTCAATGAGGTTCTTGACGTTTCAGATGCACATTGTTCGGAAACTGATAGGCTGGAGATGTTTGGAGAAACCTTTTGCTTGTCAAGGTTTTGTTGACCTTGCCCACACATTACACTGCGTAGTTGCTTTGAAGCCTTAACTGAGGACTTGGACTTCTCTTGTAAAAGATAAAATCTGCGCGCTGTATCGATGTTGTGGGCCATTAAATCGGAAAGATTTCCTCGTGCTTCATTGCTTTGGCTGGTTGTGTGAACTTTTGACACAGCCGACTTCCTAAACAGAGTAGAGCTAGGACTTTTCTTCATTTCCGCCTTCTTCCATACAGATTTTATCGCTTTATTTATCTGACTGGATGCCATGGCTTCTCCATTCCAAGTTAAAAAGACATTCTCGCAAGTACTACCAGTCATGCCGTGAACTTTGGAGCGTACTTCTCTGACAAAAATGTTCATCCAGCTGAGCAATTTTTAACTGAGAACAATTCTCGCTGGTCCATGAGTTGAAAGGGTCTTATGATCCTTCACGAAAACATCATTCTCGTCATCCTGCCTGGATGCTCTGTTTAGTTCCCCCAATTTCATATTGGCAAGAGCGCCAGCCCGATTAGCATTGTCGATTGATATCTCAACCAAAAAAACGTCTTGGATGAGAGTGTACTGACTTTGGCTGATTTCCACTGAATGTGCACCTGCTAACTGACCCAGTAAGCATATGGTCTCTCTGGCAGCTTGACTTCTCTCAAACTTTTCAATTTCTTCTGGGGAGATTAAAGCATGGAGATCCTCTTCCATCTTCTCCTAATGTCGTTTCGAGCAGCTCTTGCGCAAAGACGTAGACCATCGTATGACCTTCTCTCAGTTTTAAAGATAATTCTCTCTGGAGAGATGTCTATGTCAAGGGTCTCACTTAGACAGAAGGAATAGAAATGGTGGAGACTCATCAGATAAGACTTTGTAGTTTTGGGATGGCATTCTCTCTTAGCAAATCCTTCCAAGAATTTTTCACTGACGACTTTTTCATTGAACAGAGAAGCCAATTCGTGCTTTCTGTCGATTACGTTTAAGAGCTTAGATATTTGTGCTCGATGCTGCTTACTTGTATTCTCGTCCAGGTTTCCTCCATCTGCAGATTTCAGCTAGGTTTCAAATTGAAGGACAAATGTGGGTACGGCTGTGTCTGAAGACTGAACTGATCATACAACGTTCACTCCATCCACCCACGTATAAAGCGCTTTACTTTTTCACTGCGTGTAGCCCAAAAAGGTACTTTTTTATGAATAAAATACTGACTTGGTAAAAAAAATTGACTACAGTATAAAAATAGAGGAACCTTTACGGAAAGGCATATGGGAAGGTTAGGAGAAAGAAACTACATCTGTTTGATTGGAAGTAATAATCAAGCCTCATCAATTTTATAGCAAGAAATATTATCTCTTCGTGAAACATTTGGTTAAGTTATTTCCATCTTAAGAAACAGTGATAGAGAATATCGTAATTCTATTTATTTTTGTGCTCAGGGACCGCGGAGGGGGAAGGGCTCGTAGGGCTCCCTTTTTTTTCTTGGATAGATTATTTAGGCCCCAGATAACGTGGATAATGTATGAATTTTACAACTTGAACTCAGCCAGGTGTTGTAGCCCATGCGGTACCGCTACTATTGCTGCTCCAGCTGGGGCTTGCCTGTCTGTATGCCAAGTATGCAAGTGTGTACTTAAATTTCCCACCGCTAGCATTATTTGTATTTGTTTAACGATTAATAATATAAAGAAAAAAAATCATACTAATAATGTGAAAAAGAAAATTCGCACAATTTCAAATCGAATCAAGAAGATCACTTTGAGCGTGATCGATTTTCCTTCAAAGGTACCTCAATCAGCATTATTGTTGAGGTAACACCACTACCGTACCATCACCACTTTTAACAAGCTTTTATTTATATTCATACTTAAACATAAAGTTCAGAAGAATAGTAGGAATATAATTTGCTTGAAGCTCATTAAGTGTGAACAGGAAATTCAAAAGAATCATAAGAAAAAACTCCCATTCCTGGCAAAAATTGCTGCTTGCATAGGTTACTTACCACCCGTCACTGATACGGTAAAAGAGTTGCGAGTGACAGGCCTCTTTGCCATGGCAGTGGTTTTTTTTGTAACCTTGCTAACAATGCTTCCAATGCTGGCAACATTATAATCTGCGACAATAACACAAGCAAACATTCGGTCGGTCGCAAACAAACACACGAACAAACATACGATGATTTGTTGACACGAACAACGGAGTACCGCTATAAGAAGCTAGTCACTGAGCACATCGTTCTTGGAGTTATACATATGGCACGAGTGTAACACATCCACGTTTTTATTTCTCACATTATATTTTGAGCTGCCAGTCTAATTTAACACGTCATAGAGTCACAAATAAGAACGTTTGAATGCGTATGCTCTTAAAGCCCGTAACGGCAAATGCATCAATGCCATAATAAGGAGGTTTTTTAGCTCTAACTCCCTGTCCTTCGGAAGGACAAATGTCAATTCTGGCTCACTGGTTACTATTACATCAGTGAACAATCTGATTGGTGTAATATTTGTTATCTCTCGGAAAATAAAAAGGGACCAGATGAAAAAGTTCTCTCTAGTCGTAATTGGTACAAATCAAAACCACTAGAGGAACAGATTGAGTTTGCAATAAACTTCTGCGCTAGGTTGTAAAAACTTCCCTCACTACAATTAATGGTTATTAACTTTTTATCAAATCTACATTGCTAGTGAGCCTAATTGGTTTTAAGACTAAAGAAAATTAAATTGTTATAATTTCCCTATGGTCTAAATGGAAGATCATTTCATTAAAATAACTGAACATTGTTGTTAAAAGCAAAAGCGGGACAAAGATCAAAAAAAGAAGGAACCAGATAATAAAGTTCTCTCTCTCGGCGCAACTGGTACAAATCAAAACTTCTAGAGGAATAGATTGATTTTGCAATGAACTTTTGTGCCGAGTTACGTGCGGTATGACAACAAGCCCTCGATATACACATGCCCATATTGTTTCGTATCGGCAGGTCAAAGCTCGTTTTAACCATTGATTAATCATTCTTTAACTCAGTCAAAACAATGACTACGACAGTCAACCTAAGCGACTCGGAATGAGTCCCGATAAATCATATACACTTTGGCCAATGTGCCAATTGAAAATAACAGATAAATGAAATAATCGGGGTGAGGCTGAATGAAAGTGAAGGCCTCGGGGCGATCGTCTTTTTTCTGCAACTTGATCAGGACATTCTTTCTGTCATTAAAGAGTGCGTCGACAGTTTGCTGGGCATTAGGTCTTCGAGCAATGCTACGAGGAAGAAAGTTGAAGCCGCGATTGTGTACGCCAATGAATCCAGTCTACATCTTGCAGTACACTAAAATGGGTTCAATGTTGGGCAAGGGCTTGATTTGGAAACGCCGCACGGTGACTTAGGCAAGAGACTGTTGCAGCTCCTGGGAAACTAAATCTATAACTTCGCATATGATCAGTCATGGTATAGTTATTTTTTTGATTATAGCTCCAGAATTGGTAGGATTCATCTTCTCTTTGATGAAATAAGATGATATTCACAGGAATTCAAACAGGCAGAAAGATATTGATTCCCCAAAATAATCAATCACGGCATAGTTATTCTTTTGATTATACTTCTAGAATTGGTATGATTCATCTTCTCTTTGATGAAATAAGAAGATATTCCAAGGACGTCATAAAGACAGGAAGATTTTGATTCCACAAATAAAGAATCACTCCAAACGATACTATAACACCGATTCAAAGTTCCGCTCAAGAATCAAAGGAACGAAAACTTCATTTGGAGAGTAGAAGCCGGGAACACGTTGTATATTTTCACATTTTCTATCTATGAGTAAAAAGAGAAATAACGTAAAACTTCTCAATATTCTATGGATCTAAATCAACCTCCCACGTGTCTCTTAAAAAGAATATGGAGGGACAACAACAACTTTTTGTGGCTGAAAATGGGGAAGTGGGTGAATAAATTGATTGGCTAATCAATCATTGTTTCAGTTAACGATTGTTAAGATGAACTTGGGTTGATATTCGTTAACCATGCTGTGTGAAAAGTTTTAGAAATGTTTTTATTTTTGATCTAAAGATGTTGACAGCTTTGAGCTCGCATTAGCGGTGGTTGTTTTGTTGAAGTGAATTTATTTTGATCATAAGATCTAACAAAAGTCTCTAAAGTGGAATTCGCTTAGGCTGTCAGTAGCCTACAAGTGTACGGTTCAGAGACTGAATTGCAAATTAGATTGGAAACAACTGATTGTTCTTGTCGTCTGTCTTTGAATGGGTAACCTAGAAATGTAGGACTCACCTAACTTTTCTCTTGCTTTACTTTCAGGCTATCAGGAGGTCTCCTCTGAACCTAGCAAATAACAACAGTGGGCACGACTATAGATAAACGAAATAAATTAAAATGCTAAATACGGAAAACCACTTAGATGAAATCATCTCTTTTCTATCGACAATGGACAACGGATGTCATAAAAAAGGAAGAGAAAAGAAAAAAAAAAACTCGAAAATGTGATTACTTGTACGATTTTAGCCATATTAGTGTCCTTTGCAACCAATTCATAGCTCAATATTGGAAGTTAGCCGAGGAACGGTACTCAAATCCAAAATGATTTTAAGCTTTGACGTAAATCAGTCGAAAGAACGCATTCATTTTGAAGCACTTGTCGGTTGACCTTAACTTTCCCTAGAATCTTCTTTAAGTCAGAGTCCTAAAAATATCTCTTTTACATAGCAAAGTCAATGTCATATAACTCGGCAAGAATTATTACGGCTCCTCCGCGGGTAGTTTTCGCTTCTGAATCATTGACGCAAGCGATTGTTATCCTAGATGTGGAAAATACAGCCTTTTCCAAGTTTTCATCATTCTTTTAACCTATTACAGATTTGTGATTATTTAAAGTTAGTGATGATATTAGCGGAGTGGGTTAACTACCGGAACTGCTGTTTCAAAAAGAGGCTGTGATAATCAATACCGGATACAGTAGAATTTTGCCAATGCAAGCATCTGAAGAATTCGTTTAAATGTTTAAATAAGTTATCTACTATCAGGTTAGCTCACTCGACTTGCAAGCATCCCCAACTGTTTTTTTTTTCTCTTTTAATAAGCGACCTTTTATTTTGTATCAAGTTTTACGTGCGGAATAACAACAAGCCCTCAATATACATATGCCTATATAGCAGTGCTCTACAGCCTGGCCTAGTTCCTGGTTACAGCATCTTTCGGACGTATACAATTCCCACAAAACAAACCACTGAAACACACTTAATCCTAGTGGTGATACTAGCGGGATAGTTTACCCACCGGAACATCTTTTTTTTTTTTTAAAAAAAAAGGTTGTGATAATCAGTGATATGGTAGAACTGTAAGCATCTTGAAGTGTTTTCTTCTCCTTTTTTTTATAGGTAGCGTTTCACTTTGGAACAAGTTTTACGTGCGGAATGACGAAAAACCCTCAATATACAAACATGTATGCCTATATCATTTTTTATCAGCTGTTCAAAGCTCATTTTCAGTAAAAATTGAGACTATGACGGTCGATCCAAGGGACTCGAAATGAGAACCGATAAATCATATGCATATACTTTGCAATTCGAGGTTGAAGTTGATGAGGCTTCTTCTTGGTTCCACCAAATAAGGGAAAATTGAACGAAACAAAGGTATTGATCGGTTCTGTCCAGACGATGTTGTTGACGATGGAAGAAGATTTGAATATATAGTCGCCGGAAGTACTTTTATTTGAAGGTGGTATTCTTAGTTAATTGTCGGCTCTGTCAAGAGAAAATAATGATCATCACTTTCTCTTGTTTCCATTTGTTAACCGTAATCGCACTAACACGCAAGGATAGAGGACAAAACTGTTATGGGAGATTCGGTTTTGCGTCGCCAAACCCGCGGACAGTCTCTGCTTTATGTTTTGGAAAACTCGAAATACTCTGTGAAACTTAGCAGGCGTTGGTTTCCTTTTGAATATTATTAAGGAATAAAAAATTACGCTAGGATTGGAAAGCAAATCGGCAATCATTTCTTATATTCACGCCCACAAATTGGTATAAGTTTTAGGATCTGAACTAATATAGAGGTGGCGGAGAAGAGAATGCGCAGTGTTCTTGCGTTAATGATGATTTTAAAAATGTTGCACTTTAAAAAATAATTATAATGGTGATTATTTGTATCATTATGAGCAAATTGTGAGGTAATCAAACATTGAGAGAAAAAGATGAAGAGATATAAGAACTAAAACATAAACTTAAATCTTTAGAAGCAGCCATAGAGAGGCTCGTTCGAGAGACTAATTTCCGAAAAGCTTCCCTAGAACACCTGAAGAATCGTTCCAGAATTTTGGACGAGATCTGCAAGCACCGTGGGGCATTTGAAAATATTTTGAGTTGTTTGAATATAATAGAAGACCCTGACGATGGCCTGGGTAAATTTCCTGTTGCTCAATAGTGTATTTAAGGTCCTTTGACTTCCAAAACATAGTAATCCTTTAGTTGTAGAAATGCTAATTTCAATTGAAAAATGTCTTATAAACCTCCATTAGAATCATTGTTGAAGTGGGAATTGAGAATTGAAAGTCCCTCATTAGCATATACAGCGCTCACAACATCAACCGCTGACTGTCGTCAATTTCTCGGCATGCAGCTGGATGGGCCTTAGCTCAACTACAGACTTTACCTCTTTATATGACTGTGTTTTATGTAAATCCCACACGAACCTCATGTAATAACCAGCTCTTTCTAGTGGCTAGATTGTAATCAGTGTTCATCAATGCATTTTCCTTCTCACGTTTTAAGAAATTATCTTGTGGTTTTTTTGTAAAATAATTTGCTGGTTCTTAAATTTCTTTTTGTAGAATTAAATTATGTTCAATCATTCATCTCGTGAGAAATAGTTTGTTATGGAGTCATTGGAATGGCACAATGTTTTGCAAGCACAGCTGAAGACTGAGAACCACATTTGACACAAGAATTAACTTTTTTACTTTTGGCTCGGCATGGTGTATTGATAGACCTTGCTTTCCACTATAAACCCCCACTAAAACCTTTGATATAACAACAAATAACTCAGGAGAGTATCATTACTTTTGAAAATGATAGCTAACAGCTCTCAAAACTGTCTGATTCGCGCTAATGTTGCGAAGCGTTACTAAAGTATGAAGGTTACTGATGTATGGAAAACCGATATATTTTTGGACTGGTTGGCAACGGTAACAGTCAAACTGCAAAGCAAATGGATTGATTGTGTTGTAAATATGAAATAACATTTGAAGGGTTGAAGTCACAACGTGATGTTACTTAAATTCGTTGGACAATCCATTCATCTCTACGCATTCTTCTAACAAATATCTCCGGTTGACTATTATACAAGTATTAAATTTGTCGCGTCTATTTAAATAAAAATGGCTGATTCGTCCCCGGATTCCTTGCGACAGCATTCTGGCGCCAAAACTACGCAATTGGGTATTTCCATGAAGAATATGTTAAAAATTCTTATTACACTAAGCGCAAATTACTGTCACCCATAGGAAAAAAAAAAACTCAAGGCTTTGTTTAAAAAATGGTAATTTATAGACAGAATTCGGAATAAGGACTGAAGTTTTTCGGGAAATTAGAGATCAACTCTATTTTTTTCAACTCACTAATCTGCTTTTTTTTT